GGAAAGCTGTTTTTCAAGCTCCTCGACTGAAAGAGTAGCAGGAAGTGTGAGAAATATATAAATGTGTTTTGAATTTATTTTACTACTAAAAAAGAAAATGAAGATGTGGGCAGTACAACCTCTTCAAAAAAAATGTATAGTATATTTGAATTTTTACATTATTTACAATATTTACAAATAAATACATTAAAAAAATCTCTTTAAAAAAAACAAAAAAACAACAGCAACAACCTTGAACCAATAAACCCAGAGCGGCTCAAACTTTGCATGGATATTTATAGTTTCTTATAAAACACATTCAGATTACACAGCTTGTGTGATGTTGCAGCAGCGTTTTAGACAAATCACTTAAGGTGGCGCCATTTGATTGGTTATGCATGCCTGGATTTTACAGCTTTGTTTTTGATACAGCGCGGTGGAAAAAGATCTGATTGCTCAGAATGAATGTTGGAGCCAGAATAAAGGAGCGGGCAGGTTTTAGAAAACAAAACAAAACAGGCAGTTGTGGTCCATAAAGCAGATGTCTGTTGTAGATTCTGATGGTGTTTGTGCATCTCTTTTTCAGGTGGTGATCCAGAAAGAACAGATATTTTTCCTGTAAAGATAAGAATGATTGCACCATTATTACCCTTTGACTTTATCCAGACCATGCATGCAAAATACACGTGTACACACCTTCACACTGCCTATGTACAGCATAGTAATGAACACACTGTGAAAACTGTTTTTTTTTTTAAAAGAATATGATGCTGAGTTTGACATTTAAGAGCTACACAGAGTTAATGTAAAATAGTCAAAAAATGATCAGGAGTATCAGGAAGACAGGTAAACCGATGGACTGTCATGAAATATTTAAGCTTCAGCTGTACCTGCAGTATTTTGTGCCACACTCTAGGTGATCCCTGCAGCTGGCACCGACTGGCTTCAGACTGTTCCAGCGCCACAACAGTGAACGTTTGGTTCGCTGAATTAAGCCATGCCACTCGTCAGGTACAGGCATTGAATGAACCTGTAAAGGCAAATACTTGATCCTTTAGCTTTGTCATATAAAACACTGATTAGAAAAAAAATATTTCCATGAAAGTTCAACAAACAATAAATAACTTACCTGAACGACACATAACAAAGACAGAAAAACAGAAAGGATGATCATTTTTTCCTGGAGAGTCCTCATGCTGCTTACAGATGACGTTCAAGACAGGGGCTGTTTTGCTGCAGGCTTGGTTTGTGAGCTACGCCTGTATTAAAGGCTTTAATTGGGTTGGGGAGGAGTTACCTTCTGAATAATTCATTAATTTGTTACTTTATTGACTAAGGCGTAAGGTTTGGCAGACTGAGCAAGTCAAGTCAAAGTCACTGATGGGAATCTGTTGCACAGTGGTAGTTATCACACAGCTGAAGACAAAGTTTATCTATGTGACTCCAAAGTACACTTTGGACCTCAACCTACTAAATGAGGCCAACTCCACGTCGGAGGTTTCTAAGTGAAACCCTAACGTGACTTTAGACTACTATGCATTTAGCCATTTGCTCCACCCATGGAGTCTTGCCGGAAGGAACTTAAAAAATTAAATGAAGTTGCTTCATCAGATGTCCAAGATCTGATGAAGTGACTTCCCGAAGATTCCCTGAATTCCCCCCTTTCCCTACAATCAGTTTAGTTTCTGCCCAAACAAAACTTCGAACAGAGAGACCGCTTCCAGACTTTAAGCTAAGCTAACTAATAACATAACTTAAAAATCATTCATATGCAATTCCCACAAATTATCAAAATATTCAAGAATTTAGGATTTTGTGCACTGAAGTTTACATGAAGCTGGAAAAAAGAAACTAACAGTTAATGCAGATATAAACAACCATTTCTAATGGAAAAAAATTAATTACACCATATGCACCCGTAAATGTCAGGGGTTAAACTGCAGTTCACTGACAGACCACTTGGGGCAATATATAAAAATGATTTCATAAATATCTTCTTGCTATGATACAGCAAGCGTATTTAAAGCGTATGCATGTCTTTATGCATCATAAATATTACAAGTTATTATTATTATTACTACTACATCCTCCTTAATGGTTGGGCCATTCTGAACAAGTCTTCATGACCATCACCACACATTGATTATTAACATCTAGGTGTTAAAAAAAAAAGAAAAAAAGATTTATTGTTTCACGTGTTGCCCATATGTAACAATGGTCACTAATATTTGTATTCATGACAAATTTTTTTCGAAGAATTAGAAATAAAGTCTTTAAATATAAAGATACATAACAGACAAAAATTCAAATTCTGGCGATACTGAATATGTTTACGACGACCATCAGGACTTGCGTGAATGCTACGGCAAGTACTGCTAAGTTTTATGTAAACCTTTAATTGTTGTGATTCATTCCTATATTACACGTCTGTTCTGCATGTAGCGATATAAAATATAAATGGTAAATGGCCTGTATTTGTATAGCGCTTTACTAGTCCCTAAGGACCCCAAAGCGCTTTACATATCCTGTCATCCACCCATTCACACACTGGTGATGGCAAGCTACATTGTAGCCACAGCCACCCTGGGACACACTGACAGAGGCGAGGCTGCCGGACACTGGCGCCACCGGGCCCTCTGACCACCACCAGTAGGCAACGGGTGAAGTGTCTTGCCCAAGGACACAACGACCGAGACTGTCCAAGCCGGGGCTCGAACCGGCAACCTTCCGATTACAAGGCGACCTCCCAACTCTTGAGCCACGATCGCCCCATAGATGAAAGACAGTGAAGGCAGCATTTTAAACTAAATGATCAGCCTGTGGGCAAACTTTGATCAGCAGCCATGATGTGAGTCCAGAAGGCTACAATACAATTGGGTTGTGTGTGTGTGTGTGTGTGTGTGTGTTACGGTTTTCCACGTAAACATTAAAACCCAAGGTTTACAGGTTAAGTTTTTTTCTCCTTAAAAACTAATCAGGTTTTCTCAAAAGCTTGCAAAGACAATGACTGAATATGTCTTTATATTGTTGTTACACCCAAAAAAGATGTTTTGGTTATCAGCATACATACAGCGCTTTATTAAAGAAGGGAAAAAGCAGTGCACCGTAGGCTAGTCCATGTTAAAATGGCAAACTTAAAATAACAAAGCTTCAAAGGCATGCATTTCTGTAACAGAGCACCTCCTATGGGTGCAATGTGTAGGTGGCCCAGACTTTTGGGCATTTAGATTGTTACCAGAAATGGTTTTGTTCACTTTAAGCAGATTTGTAGGTGTCAGCCACGAGTAATGTAGCTGTGAATAATAAAGTTTCAACACTGAAATGCAAACAATGCATTAGTCAGACCTTCCTCTAAAGTTTGTCATAAAGCCCGTCTTGCTTTTTTGGTCATCTGCAGAGCAATGATTCAATACTTTTGCAATGTCAGACAGGAACTACAAACACACCTTCAGGGAATAGCATAGAAAGTTTATTGTTGAGTCATAGCAAACGACAACGTGCAAACTGTCATACATGTGACCCTAATGAGAGATTTGCATATAAATTGTGATTATAGTTAAGTACCGATTTTGCCAGGGAGTAGTAGTAGTGTAAACAATGTTCTCTTTTAGGCATAAAACAAACATACACACTCAAAAAAAGAAATTGAACACAAAAGATTTTGTCAGCGAAAAATAGTGACTGAAATGGCAAAAACATCTATATTATAGTGAAACTGTGTGCAACGTTGGATAGAAAAATAACATTTAGTCATATGTGCTCTAAAAGTTCATAGGCCAATAGGAAAACAATGTGGGGTTGTTGTTTTTTATTATTAAAAATGCTTCAATAAAGTTATAAAAAACAAAATCAGTCTAAGTGCTTCAAAAGTTTTTGTGTGTTTGTCAGTGTCACTACCACAAAGCTTCATATTCCGGTTTCAGCAATGTAAATCAGTATAATTTATATTAACATATTTATGACAGTACTGGAATTAAATGAAATAATATTGTATTAGACATTCACAACAGGAAGAAAGCCATCCTGTCATTGTTGGGTTAATACTGATTGGATCACAAGGAGGACACACATGTATATATACACTAGGGCTGCCACAAACAATTATTTTGATAGTCGACTAGTCACCGATTATTTTTGCGAT